ACGATGGCTGACAGAATGCTAATTCAAACCATTCTTGCTTCTGCAAATCTTCTAGAACAGCAAAAAAATAACATTTGACAAATTTTCTTTCCGGCAGGCTAATTTTTGCCACTTGATCCATAACCAAAAAATAATTCTCCATGCCAAATTACACCAGAAATGACTCTATAAGTCAATTTGTCACTCACAAAAGACAATGCTCATTCACCTATGATTAATTTCCATAAAGTCCTTCACATTAGCCTAATTACATTTTTCCATATTTTTTATTTATAAGTCTTTATGCTGTGCCGCTGATTAAACAGAATTTTTTTTTCATGTAAATGAATTAAGCAGAACAGAAAACAAATGAGTAATAACTTCCTATAGAATTATCTGCAATTCATAAACTTTACATGATCAGATACACCTCATTCCTACAATCTATTATTTATCATACACAAAAGTCAATAAAATTCTCTCACATTTGTTCACTAAAATTTGAAACTAAACTGCAATTCCTTGTAGGCGTTTTCAGTGTCAATGCTTTTTTATTCTTCAATAGCTTTCATGTCTTAATGCGAATTTTTATGAATTTAATTGAATGGAAATCCAATTCCCGTGAATTTCAATCCACACATTTTGTTTCGTTTTTGGCTTCTGTTTATATGAAAATAATATTAAATTTATTCGCATATGTACCTAAACAACCGTACGTTGGCCTTAAAAATAATTCACCTCGACTTCTTTTTCTTGCGACTAAATTTTTGATATCGTTTATTACTTCCGTTTTGGAATGAAAGACGATATGATTTTAAAAATAAAATTGCGATAAGGCTTTTAAAAGGCGATAAGGTACATATTGGATGTTTTGGTGATACTTGGAATTAGTTTTTAATGCGAATAAGCCAGTGTGTGATATTTTGAGATTTTTGGAATGAATCAGCATGTTTTTGTCTTTTGACTTCTTAGAATAGGCAGACTTACCTTATAAATATTTTTATCTTGTGTGAATTATTAAGGTAAACCTTATGCATGACTCATCAACTAAAACATATCAAGGTATCCATTTAATTAATTTAATTTTAGACTGCAGACTGCATGAATATTTTTAATTGGGATGCTAGATCTCAGCAGGAGTCTGCCTCAAAATTTTAAGATTCAAAACAAAAATATTAAGGATATGGAACTAATTGGAATGATCAAAATTGATCAAAGTCTACCAAAATTGTTAAAATCGTGATTCATCAGTTCTGTACCATTGCAAAAGATTATATTTTTATCACAATCGTAAAAACGAAATTTCTTATCATCAAAAAGCGATTAGCCTGATTGAAGTAATTTCGTTCAGACCTTCAAAATATCGAAACCAGTTCAAGTTTCATGAAAATTTATTTTTATCTAATTGAACTCTAATTTTAGAATACAACCGTTGATAAAATTTCATTGAAGTTTGCTGATTACTTTGAATATATTTATATCACGTAAGGAAAAGCAAATGCTAGATAGAAATTTTGAAAACTCCATTCAAAGGGGTGCGAAATTCCAAACAAGGGGTTTCTAATATTCGACTTAACCTCATTTGACAAAAACCTATAGTTCACAATTAGAATCACGTTCCTTGACATATGTTCTATCTATATTTATCGTCAATGAATATAGAGCAATTTATTTTCAGCAGCATATGCATTGCCACTTTAATGGTTTCTCAAGACAATGCACATGATGGTGATTAGGAAGTGAATTAGCAAATATGTTTTATGTTTTTAAATTTGTAGACAAATTAAGCCACATACATGTTGTCGCAATGTCTTGAAAACTATCAATTGTATTTAGTCATTACCACAATTCATCAATTTTAACAACAGTACTGCAGAAATCCATTAAAATAGTTTAAATTTAAAATCAATCATTTACAAAATCTTAGACATTAGCAAATATGACTTAATTTCAATGTAATGATTAATTAGCTCAAAATAATAATTAATCTATTAATGATCTACTCGAACTTCCTGATCAACTTAAACCGATTAACCCAATTCTCATGAATTTAAACTTGCTTAAATTAAATTCTCAAATTTATATCGACGAAAATGTAAACACAATCTGATTGATGATGATTATTTCTTGAAAACAAAAGCAAAACATTCAAGCGCCTGTTTTTTATCATTGAACTTAACAAATGTAAAGTTGATATGAAAATGAAGTTTCATTAATTCAATAAAAAAAAATATTTTTCCCCTACTTCCATAAGTAGATAATTAATTAAACTAAAATGTATGTACATTTAAAACACGTCTGATGAGCTTGTATAGTAACTGAACACATGAACATTATGTTAAATTTTTTCACATTTAATTGTTGCTATTTTCAATTTTATATTTATTTTTTGCTTGCTACCGACTCGATGTTATTGTGCAATGTTATTGTTGCCTACATGGATATATACACATATATATTCACAATAATAGCTCAATATGCGAATTAATTGAATGAATAAAAAAATAACAATAAAAAAAACTGAAACATTTAATTAAATTTACCTAATTACCTAAAAATAATAATTACTAGTAATAGATGATCGGATGAATGAATGGATACAAAATGTATAACATGTGCAATACATAATTATTATACGTCTAATTCAATTAATTGTTTTAATTTATTTAATTGCTATCACTTCACTGGATACCAAATATTTATTTGAGACTAATTGTTATCATTAAACTTTTTTTTTATTTTGTTGGATAACTTTTTGATACAATGTTTGGTGGATGAGCTAATGGGCGGAATTAGTGGTTAAAAATGTTTATTTTAATCGGTTTGAGGGTTGGAAATTATGAAAGCTATATAGACAGAGGTTATTGATCGATTATTAGAGTTGTTCACTTATGTTTTGTGATTATTGGGAGGTTGATGTGCTCCTCCACTAAGTCTGTGCTCCTGATAGGATGGAATCATTTTTCAAGTTACATAATAAGTGAATGACCCCACTGAATTTCATAACTGGACTTTTAAATCACAAAAAATAATATTTCCGTTTATTGCAACGTTTACGGCAATAAAACTGCAAAAATTTGTAAAATAGGTCATTAAGCCACCCACTCAGATGGTCACAATTTATTATTTTTTAATCAAATTTTATAGTCATCCATAATAAGACATTTAATTAAATAACTGCATATTTGAACAGTATATTGATTCCTCAAGGCAATAAACTTCAATTAATATAAACAGCAACTTACAAAAAACAGGAAAATACCACGTGACCTTGACACCGAAAGAATGTAAACACTTATCATATCTCCTCGATATCTACTTATCAATCAAGCATTTTTGTGATTTCTTTCCTATTCACCTTAATACTCAAATTGTTATCATTCGATTTATTTGTATTCATTGAAGTATGGCACTGAATGTAATCAAAAAGAAAATATTGAAGCTGATTGAAGCATTTGAAGGCAACAGACTTGATAAGATTATCCGGGTTTATTTAACTCATTGAGTCGATAATGCGCTATTAAACAGATAATGGCGAGTTAATTAATTAATTAAGTTAAAGAACACCTTAATCCATTCACAATCGATGTCAAGTGACGTAATTTCGCATTATTGTTTCAAAATCCAATTGCATATATACTTATGCTCACCATCGAGCATATCTACAATCGACTTTCACATTGTTGACTGAAGAATTTGCTTGTAATGAGTAAGAACTCATTTTTAAGCATTACAATCATTTTTTTCTGCCTTTCTTTCTCTCTCTCCATAACATGTAATAGGCTGTTATGGTATATCATGTAATGTTTCTTCATCTCTTCCATTCTCTTTTATAATTTCTGCACGAGAAAAAAAATGATTATACGTGCGGCTGATGAAGATTGTTGTATGAAATTAAAAACAAAATACAATGTATGTATATCAAAGTGTCCGCATAACAACCACAAAAAAGACGATGAGATAGAGTGATAAATATCCATTAATTCCTTGCGTATAAAAAGCTTGTACCACTTTATCAGGAAGGGAAAGGTGTCGTTTTGTCCATTTATAGGCTTTTTGTCTATTGATTGGCTGCCACATATGTCAATGAATCTGTATAGGTGGAATTAAAATTAATAAGAATCTAGATGGGCATAAAGAACTGTAAATTTATTTTTTGTATCCAACCCACCAAAAATGGATAGGCGACCGACATTTGTCATTAAGAATTGAGCCTACACAATTTGATAAACTGATTTCAATGATCTCGGACTTATTATCATAAAAAATGGAACCATTTAACTAAATCAAAAGCACATTAAGTTGACTAGCTGACTCATTTATAATCTTTTGTGTTCGCTGTTGTTTAATGTTCACCGAATGGAGTCTGTGATTATATTCTGAATTTAAAAGAGATCAATTTTGGGAGGCTTTTCATACTGAATGTTAAGGATGAATATCAAAGTCTTTTGTCTGTCCATTGAGTAATCGGAATCTATTGGCATTTAATAAGAAATTAGCAACATAAAGAAGAGAATTGACAGGAGATTATTCAACGATGATTGAAATAACGTTGAATTTTAATGAAACGATGTCGAACTTTTTGATTGTTATTTGGTCTTTATTGTTGTGGATGTTTGGGGGAATAACGATTGATTTTGTTGTATGCTGATTAATTTGACATGTGGGCATCTCGATTTCGTTGTGAATTGGAATAATTAAAGGGTTTGTGATATTTTATGTCTTTAAAACTAATTAAGCTCATTACGTAAATACAAATGTGGTTGAGGAACTTTGATTTTACATCGACCACCCATCATTTACCTTCTTTATCAATCAATTAATCCAACAAAAAATATGCGCTATTTTTAAACCTTCAACTCAGCTTCCAAACTTAAAAATTACAAATCTTTTCTTTTCTTTCGGCTGAACTTCACAACATGTGAAGCTGCTTGTCGAATAATCTGAAAAGTATCAACTTTATCATCAATATTCACTTAATCGCTTATACTTATATATTTTCCCTTTTTTTATATTTGCAGTTTTAAAAAGCATTATTACACACGCAACTGGAGTGACTGGTGATTGTTGAGTAACAAGTTTTTTTTTTGTTGATGCTTAACCGAAAAGGGTGATTAAACTACATTTTTTGACTGAAAGTGAATTGAACACCAGCAGCATAATACAAATTAGTAAATGGAAATTTCGTTTGAATTTATCGTAAATCATCACGTAGCATTGACGCTTTTATGAAATTTTTGTGCGTCGTACAAACAACAGCATGTTGAAATTAGCAGCGAGAAGAAGAAAACATTCATCGTGATCGTCACCAAGGAGCTGTGGTTTTGCTAAAGAAATGAAAAAATTAAAAATTTAAACAAATATTTTTCATTGAAATTCCAATCTCGAGAGTGCGAAAATCACATATATTACTAACGCAGCAACAAGCACACACATAAGCAACATTCTTCAATCTTTAATTTTTTTTCACTTTGTTCTGCGTCAAATAGCTTTAAGTGTAAACAGCAGCTTAAACATATATTATTTTAGTAAAGTAGTAATTATTAGGAAGCAATACTTTCAAAATGAATCATCATCCGCAATATAACTACAAAGCACTGGATCCCGACTTGGATGAGTATTTAAGTGAATACAAGAACCAAACGCCATTGGAATCTGATCATTATGCAGGTGAGTTATTTCCTCTTTTAACGAGAAAAAATATGAAAGAAAATCATCTCCATCCTATCCTTCCACGAAAAGCAAATTATGTAATCAAAATAAATTACATATAAGTACACATGTACGTGCCTTGCCAATCTTCTTCGACAGAACCTTACTTATTTATTTTTATTTTATTATTATTGATGCATACATAACTGCAAATGAACACTTTTTAAAATGTGTGTAAATATAAATATATATTTGGGTTCATTCAGTAATGACGTTCATCATTAAGAGTCCCGTCTCCCTCTGTGATTTTGAGACAACCTAAACAATAGATTCAGAGGAGTTTTAAAAGTTCTAGTTTTTAATGAACGTAATTTATAAACCTCCCTTCCACCGACGGCTCGTTTATATTCCATTGAACAATACATTCTACAATTATTTGTTCTAAAGCAGTGCTGGACACTCCATTATTGACTGTAGGCGACATGTTAAGTTGCTTTTAGAAAGGAAATTTATTGACTGTTGAAGAAAAAATTATGCACGACAATGCATTGAAGAGATTCTCTTGATTTGGCGTTTATTGATCATCTTTTTGTACGATGCGATTAGCACTTCTATTTATGGATGTAGACTGTATGTAATTTTTTTTGCATCAGGTGATATATTTGGCTACGTGTCCGTAAATGAAAATTGATTTTAGATATTGTAAATTTATGGATAAATAGGTCCATTTATATGTTGATGATACTTTTCACAGGAATCCAAATTTAGACGCTTTTGTTGTGATAGCTGTGAATTTTTTAAGGAAATTGAATTGCGAACATGAACAGTTTCGGGTTGATGAACTATTGGAATTGATGTATTGCGTAAAATGCGAACATCTAAATAAATATTTTGACACTTTTTTCTGGTAGCTTGAACTCAATAGTTATATTTAGACTAGGAAACATTTAAAGTAGTTTATATAGGCCATTACCAAAAATACGTGAGCTAAAATGACTTTATAGACAACTGGACTATTGCTTCTGTAGCAGATAAATGCTTTGCCTAGCTAGTCATTGGTTCGAGACTCATTAAAACAAATTATCAGTTAAAAATATTGAAAATGATGCTTATAGCTTCTAATTATAGACTTTAGACACAAATATCTAATGATTTGAATTATTATTCAATATCCTCGGCCTCAAGAGTCTCTATCTGAAAATAAGATGATTAACCTCTTCAAAATATCCAAATAATCTTCAAACTTAACCGAATCTCGTGCCAAAATCACAATTAGTTTATAGTCAAGAAGTCTGAATTGAAAAATTACCAGAATCATCAATAGAATACAAGCAATCCTTTGTTTACTATCAAGGAAGCTCAAACTATTCTAAAAGCATAAATAATGATTAAGTATCTTCTAAAAGGCTTCATTATTTGCTTGAAAAATTGCAAATTCATTTTTCATCTCTCCATTAAGTGATGCCACAGAACAGAACAAATACAGCTCTGCCTCGAGCAGTAAATGAAACTTTTGTTGCTATTAAAGCGATTATATAAATATGAATATTATTAACTTGTTCCTGTTCCACAAGCAAATATATTATCGTAATTCTCAATAAAGACTGTGATTCTTATTCCTATTCTACAAAATTGTTTCCTATTCTAAAACTAATAACAACAATGTGTTAATTTAAAATATAATTATTTGCAAACGTCTTTTGTCGACAACTTTGCTTTTAAAGGTATATAGAATATTGATGGCAATGAGAGATAATTGCAAGGTACTCGAATCGAAAAAAAAATAGTATATTAAAGTATATTGTACGTGTGCAAAGAGATAGCATAGATGGTATATTATTACTACTGCTATGACTGCAACACAAGAAGATATAAATCCCACCATGTCGTTTTTTTTTCTTAAGTACGATTGACATCTAAAAAGCTTCAGTTATTTACTTTTTTCCTTTAACTACCTTTTTAGCCATCTTTTTTCTCTCTTTCCTCGGATTCAGACGTGCATGTTCATGAGCCGAAGAGATAGCTTTAATGAATATAAAAAATAAATATATATTCAATGCTACTTCAAGACATTAAATGATTCTTCAATTGTTTACAACCGCATGGATGGTGATGATGATGAATCTTCTGACCTTCAACATTCATGATTTGTTGAAGTTTTCTTTTATTCTTTTAATCATCATCATCATCGACTTATTTATTTATTATACTGCTTGTTTACTATTTGTGTATAATATTCCTCATTTACCTACTGCATCATTTTATATAACTTTTTACTACCGGTGCGAATTTTTTTTGTTTTCGTAGAGACACGATCGTTATCTCAAATGAGCTCTAGAATTGAGTTGTTTTCACATGATAATTATTACATTTCTGATGTGCTGTTTAAATGCATAAGCACGTTTTAATGACAATTTGCAGTTGATATTAATTTTTATTATGGTAGAAAAATGGAAGAACGTCAGGTTTCTGGGATGCATTAGATGTCGTAATTTCATTAGTTTAGACTTTAGTTTGGACATTTATGGAACTAAGTGGATAGTTTGTGATGAGCGGAATCGCAGTTAGAATCATTATTGCTCTATCAATTGATTTCAAGTTTTTATTGCAATTGCAGTTGGTTCTTAAATGGAAGATTTAGCTTGAAAGCTTTAGTCAGAAGATGAGGGGGAGTCTAAGGTAGTCAATGTATATTTGTCCATCACCAACGTGAACAACAATCAATAATTAATCATATCAGCTTTTAAAACTTGCTAAATCTAAAGACATACTTGTCCTTAAATCAACTTAAAGAGTTCAAAAACCCGACAATAATTTTTTTTTTCCTCAAAATTGTAAATTATTAAAGAACAAACTCAACTCATCTGCAAAACATTATCACTTAATTAACAGCTGCTTAAAACCTTCAAGATTGCATTTTTTACAAAAAACTTGCTACAGCAAATAAAACAGCATAACATTTCCTTTTAAACAAGCTCATTAAATTAAAACAGATGTAAAATATCTTGTTTTTAATTACGTGTAAAAATTGCATCTTATATTCTCAAATCATCATGAACTGTTAAGCTCTTTAAAGCATAAGATGGATTTCCTTATTGTTTAATTATGCAAGGATAATGCCTCATTAAGGGGATGAACTTCAACACCTCCATTCAAATACAGTCAATTAATCTCGTAATTATGTAAAATTACCACATAATAGCATCGTCAATATTGTCTCAATTCTTCTTCCTATCCAACATGTTTTTTGTGGAGCTAACGACTAGTATTCACAAATCGTATAATTGAAATTGTTAATAAAAAAAAGCATTGCTATTAAGTAGATTTTCTTACTATTTATTGATATTTCTTCTTCTTTTATTTGTTGTTTTTTTGTAGATGGTGAATCGGAAGCACAATGGCTCGTAGATGCGGGATTTCCGCAATTAACAAGAGCATTTGAACAGGTAAGGAAGCTCAATCAAAAATTATTAAATTTAAGCAGCGATTAATCAATAAGATATGAGACTGACCAATTGAGAAATCAAATTTGCAACACAACGTTGACCTAAAGTCATGACACACATATTTATTCATTCATATGTGTGTATATGAATTAAAGCTTTAATAAATTGAAGCAGTTAAGAAGAAGCAAAAAAGCCTCGAAGCCGGTGGAGATATCGTTCGCGAGGTTTCTTTGTTTCATCGCAATCGAGGAGAAATAAATAAAAAAAAAACTTCCATAAAAGTTTCCAATTGAAGAATTTGACTTTCATGGTTCAAAGTGCCCGTAAATGTTGCTCTCTGCATACTTAATATTTTTTTTATTTTTTTTTTTCATGAGGCTGAAATTAAACTTCATTTTTTTGAGTACTTCACTGTTTATATTTAATTTTTCGTATGGATATCTCGCACATTTTGCGACGTTGATGAGATTTTAAAAAATGAAATAAAAAATACAGCGAGAACAAGTAGTGAACTTGCTCATACGTGATGGGTATGTAGAGCGCTTATTTTGGGGATTCAGTTGATTAGACTTGAATTTTAAGATCTCTATTTTTGCCTGGCCCAGAAAAGCTAGTCAAGTCGAAAACAAGTCGGTTAATCGAATAGAAATCCGGTTGCCAAGCCGGCATGACTCTAGCAAAGTGCTAGCTTCGATTTAAATCCAGCACATCCCATTTGGGAGCTTGGCAGACTATGGGCATTAGAAGATGGGGTGAATCCTAATTATTTTCAATCACCACCAACCTCCCCTCACCCTTTAAAAAAAGAGCAAAAAGTCATCATATGTATTCAGCTAATCAGACAGATTCTTTGAGCTTTAGTGCCATACAATCACAAATTTTCTTCCAAAACAGGCAAACCACATCGACTAATCCCACATCCCACCAGCAAAAAAATAACTCCATCACATTAAAAATGTGATTACTGGGGGTCCTCGATTTGAGTAGTTGTTTTGTTCCAAAAAATTTCTACTCAAATCGAATCTATTCAAATCGAGGCAAAGAATCCATACAAAATCACATGTTTTGTTCCAGAGTCCAAAAAATGTATCAAAACAATGAAAATTTTGATAATTTTTTGCACATTTTACCTATTTTCTTAATTTTACCTATGTGTTTTAGATAACTTAATTTATTTCAACGCATATATTCATATTGTTTTTAAACAGAAATTCACAAAAAATATGTTTTTGAAACAAAACAAAAATATGAGAACCTTGCAAATGTTATTTAACCGAACAATTTGTAGGGTTTTTGAATTTGAACTTTTTAAAACCGTTAATTTTATATCGATTTTTTAAATTTTTACTTTAATTTTGTAACTTTAGTATTGATTTTTCGATCAATATGATAAGTTCACGCTTATTGCAGAAAAATTTATGTTTAAAAATATTTTCTGAAATGTTTTTATCAAAAATATTTGTTTTGTAAACAATTCAAATCGAAGAAAACAGGAAGAAATCTACTCAAATCGAATATTTTGGTGGGTAAAAAATTTTCTGTTCAAATCGAATCTACTCAAATAGAATCTACTCAAATCGAGGACCCCCAGTACACAAAATATAAAATTATAAACTTGAAAAATTTAAAATTATAAAATTGGTAATAATTCAATTGTTTTCACTTTGGCGAGTCTCGAGCTCGCACACGTTTCAAAGTTATGCGCGCATAGGCGCGAAAATCAACAAACAGAAAAATCACTAGCTCGAATTGAGTCTTTACATCAACTTAGCTTGTGTGCTTTTCATTTTAATTCTCTGTTGTTAGTCAGTTGGATGTTGGAAGTCATAGTGAACAAATGAACTTAGTTGCATGTAGTAGCGTCAACACAAAGCAAGCATGTCTTGGCTATGCCGAGTAAAGATTAAGATTCTTAAGACTTTTTTTTATCTCAACTTATTAAAATTAAAATTAATTTAAATAATTTTTTTAAAAAAATTCTTTATAGGGTCGTGAACAGTCAACGTCTGAATTGGTTCCAATATTAGCAAGATTATCAAAACATCATGCAGAGGCGGTTAAATTAAGAGTCAAAGCTTTAAATCAAACAGTTCGTGGAAGGACGAGATCGCGTAATACAAGAAAGAAGCCTGACATACGCGACGTTTTTCGTGATGTTGAGGTGAGTTATAGTGACCAGAAGTGACGATCGGTAGTAGGAACGAAAATATTTCATTCATAATTAAAATTTTTGTCACGATCTATCGTCGCCAATAATTTAGCATCTGAATTTAATTAACTCGACCTTGAAATTACTAATAGTCGTCGGCATCATCATTATAAATTCATATATAGATTGACAATAAAAAAATAATATAAATATTTATTTACAGACGTGTAGCACCGGTTCCCGATCACGAAGTGCCACTCCCGATTCACTTGATTCACTACCAGATCAGGATCAATGGAATAACAGTACCAATCAAATTCCGAGTTTTGTGTCAATTTTTGACAATACATCACCAACAACAATTAATCGTGGGAAACAGAATTTGAGACGAACACCGAGTGCACCATTACGTGGATCTGCGGAACTATTTCGCGGATCACATATACGATGTGATATTCCATGCTTCACTGCAGATGGCATTGAACTGCTAAATTTCCAAAGATTAGGTACTATACACATTCCACGTATTCGATCGGGCTCAGATCCATCATGTACTATTGGGTAATTTGAACTTTATATCTTTATAGCATGCAATTGTGCAACCTTATAACATATTTTCTCTGTTTATGCTACCACGCTTTAGCATTCGCAAAGGAAATCAAATAATTTCATCATCAACCACACGCAGCCATAATAATTTATATCTTGATAATGAAACATCATCAAATTCATCGGCATCATCGTCACCTAGTCCAAGTAATTCGCCACCACGTAATAGTAATTTGATGAATACATTCCATAAGAAGAACACGAGTACGCCATATCGTACGACAATGAATGATGCACCGATAAGCTTTGAGAGTATGATACGCGAGACTGAAAAATCATCTGATGGATCTGAATGTGAGACAATCGATGAAGTTAGTTGTGACATAAATAGTGTACCAGAAGGTGATTTGAAGAAGCTCCAACCAGTTTTATGGTTGGAAATTGCAGCAATTTTCGATAAGCACCACATATCGTTAGATCGTCGAAAGCCATTCAAGCGAAAGCGAAAAGAAGAAGGGAATGTTTTTGGAGTTTCACTGAATGCTTTAGTACGTCGTGATCAACAAGTGACCGGTGAGGATACATCGTTAGTGCCTTTGGTTCTACAAGGCATGATGCATGAACTTATCGCTCGCGGTGCTAAGGAGGAGGGGATTTTGAGAGTTGCTGGACACAAACAGAAGGTGATTGATCTTTATTGGCTTTTTATTTGAGTGCGTTTTTTACGACGAATTAATTTTTTTCCTGCCAAAATTTATTTGGCCCGAGACACTAGCTTGATATCTGAGAAAACACGTTAATCCAATTATTTCTGTGAATTAATTTTTGACTCTAATTTTTTATTTTTTTTTATTTCTATTTCATGCTTTCCGACTGCATACAGACCGAAACATTATATCAAGAAATTGAGCACTCTTTCTATTCGAAACCAGAGAAAGTTGAGCCATTACTTAAACGAGCTGGTGTTCATGACCTAAGTGCACTATTGAAGCGATGGCTACGCGAATTGCCTCAACCATTGCTGGCGATTGACCTTGTACATTTATTTTATCAAACTCACGGTATGAGCACTCATTAATTACATATGAAATATGTCTTTAACATCCGAAAATTTATCTTTCCACCAGCTTTACCGTCATCCGATCAAGTGAGAGCAATCTCAATGCTGTGTTTACTGTTGCCACATGAAAATCGTAATACGATGCGAGAGCTTCTCAACTTTTTCAAACTTGTCGTCGATTTGCAGAGCTTCAATAAAATGTCAATACATAATGTTGCGACTATAACCGCTCCATCATTCTTCCCACCACGTTTCGTACATCCGACAGATAAAAATGACATACCAGCTCAGGTGCGAATGGCCGCTCAATGTTGTCATCTGACAAATGTGCTTATCGCACAAAATGAAAATTTGTGGAAGGTTCCGCAACGTTTGATTGATGAGGCGAAAAAAATCAGTAAAAATGGAAATGTAAGCATAAAAAATGTTCATTTTCTCTTCTCTCACTCTCTTCCCTGCTGATCATTTTTCATTCATATTTTTCTGATGTATAGACATGTAAAACTTTACAAGCACAACTTAATTTTGTATATTTATTTTATTTTATTTATTTATTTGTGTAGAATAAACGTCAGCCAGCTAGAAAAACAAGGAGTGCCACTCAGTCTACATCGGACACAAATAATGTTCATCGATTAGTCATTTAGCCTTCGAAGGTCTCTTCTCACCAAGATGTTGAACTATTGTATGAGTGCTAATTAAATATTGAGACGAATTTTGAAGCCGCCGCAACTGTACTTACTCCGTGGGTCTATTGAACGTCAATAGAAAGGCCTGAAAGCGAGATAAAATTAATTTAACCAATTCTAATTTAGGATAAAGAAAAAAGTTTGCAAACAATTTTTTTTATAAAAAACTTACTTTATGTGTAATAATAAGTAAAACGTATGTGTTATGTATGAAACTACTTTTAAACTACTTAATTTTTAATTTGAAGTGAAACAGTCTCAAATTCCTTTTTTAAAGTGAAAGCGTAAAGTTTTTTTTATATTTTGTATATCTTATTTAATTAATAAGGGATATTGAATTAATAATCATATTTTTTGTTTTTCGATTTCAAAAACTTAAACTCAAGGTGTAGACACTTTAAAATAATTTTTTAAATTTTTAATTTTTTTTTCAAATTTTAAATTTTCAACTTATTATTTTTCAATAATTACAATTATTTTGTTTTAAGATTTTTAAAAATATTTTAAATCTCATTTTCAAACTTTATATTTATTTTCTGAATGTTTTGATTCTTAAAACTTAAAATTTAAAATTTTTTAAATTTTAAAAAATTAAAATGTTTTTAAAATCATCTGGAACGTAAGATTTAACTTCAAATTTCAAGACTTTTTCAAAAAAATAGAAAATCTAAGATTTTTATAAACTGTTAAAAAATTTCAAATTTTAATAATCTCTCTAAAATTTTTAAACTTAATAAATCTTTCAAAAATACGATTTTATTAAAACAATTCAAAGTTTGATTTAAAAAATCAAAAAATACTCTAAAATATTGAATGCTGAATTTTTAAAAATTTTAAAACTAGAAAATTTAAAAAAAATCAAATTTCAAAATCTTAAACTTTAATATTTTGACAAAGCAAATTCAAAATGTCTGCACCTTGCGAAAACCTCAATAAGTAAAGTATTTAATGGATGAAATTAACTCTCTCTGCCCATATCCAATGTCTACTTATTACTACCTTCTATTTTCATTAATTATTCATTCATATTGTGAATTAAAAAGCATTGAAACTTATTCTCTATTTGGAATCAAGCAAAAATAATAATATTTATATGAATTGAGTTTGAAAAAATATTAAACAGAACGTTACAGAAGATGTGTTTTTAATGAACGTGTTTGTAGGTGTGAAAAAAGTGTTTTACAATGAAAGATAAATAAAATAAATTTTTTTGTATGTACATTGAAACTATCTGCGTATTTTATATCTCATTAAGCTTTACTTTTTGCAGCAATGCGTGTAAGGACAGTTGTAGGGTTGCAACTATTATTTTATGGCCTAAATATTACTTTTTTAAAATATTTTTCCTTATTTGTACAACAAAAAAAGTAAGTCTATTGTTAGGAGGAGTAAGAAAGTTGAATATAGGAGGTGCTGAACAAGACGCAGTGAAATTACATGTTGAAAAGCCACAAGGTTAATTTGTTTTAATAATTTTGCAGTCCTGAAATTATTTCCAAGGATATTTCAATTCCACATGCTTTAAACTTCTCGTTCCGCACAGCTGTCTCTTTTTGTAGCTATGTCCTTCAAATTTGTACATGTCTAGTTCTAGTTTTGTCCATTTTTCTAGTCTCTTTGTTTTTAAAAAATTTATATATGTGCAAAATTGTCAAGTTTATAGTCATAGCACATTGCAGTATATGAAGTTGCATAGGAAATAGAAGCTTAGGAATGATTGGTGCAAAAATCTTGATTGCAGGGTTGTTTGCAAGGATTTTTGTTATCCTAGATTGATTAATTAAAGTCAGAACTATTCCTAATAAAAAACTTCTCATGCATCTATGATGTGAACATATTCTGGCCATAAAATGATGGAGCATAATATCGATTAAAGCTTAAAATCCAAAAAATCAACTCTGCTCGTTAATAGTCTTAGAATGATTTTGCGAAATAATATTCATAAGCCTTGTACAATTCTAGTACAATGAATTGAAACTTATTCAACTTCCTTTGGTTCTACCTGCCATAATCCTTAAGTATATCTGACAATTTGACAGTCCAACATTCTAAAGCTGACCAAAAGTGACTCAATACTTGTTTTTAACAAAAATATTCCAGATCCAGCTCGTGTAAATTCCAAATATTTCTAATACATATTATTCCTCGATATCATCAACTTGTTTTAAATTTATACAAATTTGTTTATAAGAAATTATTTCATGCAAATAATTACTTCCCTGCTAAATACGTAAATACAAAAATTCCATTCTCAAGAATATCTTATCTTAAATAATATTTTGCGATATGGTCATTAAAAAAAAGATTTAATCAAATAACTCATGATGTCAATTGACAAAATCAACACATTTCCACTTCATTCCTCAAAAAAATGCTAATAAAAATTCAGTAAACAAATTATAGCAATCAACACGACCTTAATTCGACAAAACATTAAAGGAACCGCGTCTCGATGTCTATTGTATCCCAGTTGATTGGACCATTCCATATATAGAATATATGCGAAAACAATGAACATGAAGTTGCATTAAAAATTCCACTAAATTGCTGTTTATGGAGGAAATTTTCAGTTCCCGATATTAACACAAAAAAATATTATTTTTATTGGGTACAGAGTTGGGGTTTTGGGTGTGCGGTTGATTTTTTGAGATACTCGAGAGGAACCAAACCAATTCGCAATCAAATTCTGTTGATAATTAAAACATAAAGTGTTTAAATTCTTAAGGAAGGTGCACAAGGGAGCCTTAGCTAAGGTATTATGTCTTAGAATCAAAATGTCATTTGAGGTCAAATATTATATTAAGAAAACCTAATAGACTATATCCAAAAAAGTATACTTAATTAAGTATACACAATGAAGGATACCCATTTTAGTATACTCAATAAAGTATACTCTAAATGACCAAAATAATAAGAGTAAACCCAAAAAACTTCTAAATTAATGTCAAAATTAAGAATCATAGCCCACAAAGATGACAACCCTGTCAGCCACAAAATTAATTTCTTCGAATTACTCTTCACAAATGAAAAGCACACAAAAAGGCGTCCAAAAAAACAAGCTGAGATGAATGAAACCGAGTTCTGTACATGTGTAGCGGCACAAGCATCAGCTGTATCAACAAACAATATTCATTATTATTTAACAACGATGATACATAGCAAGAATAATAATAATAATGGAAATTTCCATTGGACTATCTAATGAAATCGAGAAAAAAAAAGTAAAAAGCGAGTTTTTTAAGTTTATTGATAGAAAAAGTAAATAAGTCGGTATAAAAGGAAAGAAGTCAGGCGACATGCTCAATTGACAACAAACACGCCGTATATGTAGAAGGTCATTGTTAATAAACATACATGAATTCTCCTTTCACTTTTCATTTATCTTTTTACCATATTTTTAATATGCATAGAATTTTTCTGCATTCATGTTATTATTGATCTTGGTAAGTCGACAAGTGCGTGTGCATGTTAAATTAAAGATGATTTTCTCTTATATGGCTTGATTATTATCATCATAATGAAAGGGAAATCGAAGATTAAGGTTGAGTAGATTGTAGTGCCTTTTTTTTGCCAATGAATATATATATTTTTTTGTCAGGCATGGGAAAGAGCTGGTGCTGTTGAAGGAGCTCCAAAAAAATAAATGAAATAAATTGTGAAACTTTACCGACATATTGTAATTATTCGCAATTAAAAGGATTGGCGATTCGAGAGACTTCAGTTGAAATCTTTAATGATTTTACTTTCAATCAAGAAATTTATGAAATATTTAATGGCCAATTTGCTTGAATTTAATTCCTCTGAGAAACTGATAAACGATTTTTTTGGAAACTTATTTTTCGGGGTAAATTTATGTAATGGCATTGTTTTGGAGATGAAATGACTGATAAGTGCTGAGGACCAGAAAGTCAATGTGTAATGGGATGGGACCCTCTGTTTTTGTAAAATCCATGCGGATAAAATTTTTAAGCACATCACAAAACATCAAAAAGCTATCGACCGATGACAATTTCTTATTTTTGCAGACTTTTCTGAAACATCTGCTGCATCATGAATTTTGCAAGCTAGAAAGTAGATCATTTATCATTTGAATATACTTTCGATTTTTTGCCATTAAAGAACATAAACTATGATAAAAATTATGAAGAATTTACTGATAATATATCATTAATATGCAGACTAGTAATTGATTATTTTAGAAAGTGTCAGAAAATTATGTTGGCAATTTCTTTGGATATGACAAAATGTCAAATATACGATTTGAATGGATTTTTAGATTTTGACGGTGATGGTGGAAATTATGGGAGTTATGGAGAGGCTTCAGTCCATTTAGAACACTTACAGGTTCTAATGTTGTGATGACAAATCATAGTCAGTTTGAAAAGTCAACGATGAGCACCAGGAAGCTACTAGATGTCACTTAATAGCAAATCGAAGACCTAAAGAGCCGTTTATTCGAGTTTTATTCTTTAAAGAGGTCAAGTTGAAGTACGAAACAGATAATCTAATCCAGAAATCAGAACCTCTTTAATCCGATGAATATTGCATCTTTAATTCACTCTAAACTAATCAACTAGTAAGTACTAAAATAAAACAATCAAAGTTTAGCTCATTCAACACCCAAAATCCCTTCCATCGACTGCTAATACCACAACTCTGACTCCTGACTTCAAGTCTAATCCTCTTAGTCACAATTTAAGCCGATAATTTTTCATAAATTACCGCATTTCTTAATGCAAATGATCTGCAATCTATAAATAATCGAAACAGCGACTAATACATTTTTTTGCGTACACATTTGCAGTCACCACTTGTCTATTGCCATATTTGTTTATATTCATATTGAACTTGTGATACTTTTAGTTTATCACGTATAAACATTTTTCAAAGGCAACAAAAGTTATTTATCATTTTCCTTCAATCATTCATGTTCAGTGGTTAATGTGCTTACGCTTGTTCACGTGTGTGGCTTTAAAAAGCTTAAACATTGAGCTTTTAAAAAGAGCTTTGTTGAAGATCGCGTTGGGTTAACAATGAGTAGCTTTTGAGCTTTTGATTTAAAAATCATAACGGGTTTTCAGTTATTTCAAGCTGCATGACTCCCCTGGCATAAAAAAGTAAGAATGAGAGAATATAAAAAAACTTTCTCCAAACACCTCACAAGGCACAGCTATGTTTCTTCTCTTTGCTAATAATTTTTTTTGTGTGCTTTGCGGTAGCACACTCGGTCGACTCTCAGCGTTAAAAATCAAAAGACTTAAATGACTGAGAGAAAAATCTGTGTCTTA